TGTACGGATGCGGACTATGAGTAATTTAACAATCATTGGTTGAGTATGATTGTATTAAAATACAAGTAGGTTGGCAGTTATTATCGCAGAGAATATTATCCGTTAGATGGGGATAGAGATTACGTGATAATTTCGTGACGAAATCATTTTTAAATCCACCAAAGATTATTTAATGGCGCTGTACTAGAAACTGTGTAACAGGCTCATGCGGGCTACCTGCGCTCCTACTCTGAACAATAAAATAAAAAAAACGCCTCAGGGTTTGTGATTAGACGTGTTTAAAGACGCAACGAATGATTGAGTCGCTTCATTGTAGTTGTTCGCACAACGCTGTTTATCAGGAACGCAATTCACGATACCGTTTTTTTAAGAGCATTATAAACCCTTACCCATTAATTTGTACGTATCACTTTAAAGCTAATCAAATTCTGTATGAGCGAATAGTATCATAACATGTGCAATGTTAATTCTTAGGTTTTTTCCAGCCATGATTACATGCGCGAACATCCTGCTACCACGCCAAATGTGAAGTTACGTCATCATGGTCATTATTGAGGCTGGTCGGGGATTATTGAACCTGGTCGGGGATCTCCAGCCTAGCCGGTTCCATTTTATGCTTTTTATTTATTTTCTGCCATTACAGCAACTTACACTTTACAACTCGGTAGTAAATTAACCTAAACCCTTTCATAAAAAATAATTCATAGTGCAACTCTGTCATTTAAACTGAATATGTCAGTCTTTACCGCATATTTCATTCTTAATTAGTGCATCTTTGAGAAAAGCACGGCACAGCCAGCAATAGTTGCTGTTTCCAATTAGTCCAATTGCAGAGTTAAGTACTAATCTGTCACTTTTCATCACAGCATAAAATCTATTCGACAGAAAGAGACGAAATAATACAATGGTCAAAAGAGTGCAATTAGACCGATTTAGTTTTTATAATATGCCTTTTAGTCTGTATAAATTTAATTATTTAAATATAATAATGTTCATTCATATTCATCCAAAATGTCTAGTTTATGTAGCAAATATTGTAGAGTTTACAATAAATTACAAATATGTTTGAACAAGGGTAAGCGCTAGAACAATTAAATTTAGACTTTGCTAGTTCACATATTTACGGGTACGAATAGTGCGCTGTTTTCTCAAAATTGGGTTTTAATCCTAAATATCATTCAATACAAAACAATTAATTATTCCCGCGTTATGAATGACAATAATTATGTACTATTCGGACAGGTTTAATACATTGGTTCATCAATTAAAAAGAATAAACACGTATAAACATAATAAAAGGATTATTTCACGATATATTTGTCTTTATTTCCTCCGACGGAAGTTATAAATTTGAAACTGATATGGATTCGTATATTTTAAAAAACAATATCGACCATTAAGTGCCGATAACTTTTATTAATTGGATAAAAATACCAAAGCACTTAATATAATAACACACAATATTTAAACATACCTTCATTGCATTTTTAAATTTCGAATACACTTCCGGTTAAACAAGAGAAATATTCTTAACGATACGTGTATTACTTAGAACAAATACGTTCGTTTGAGATTACGTACAGATAACAATAAAACTAACTTGGAATTTGCATTTACCTTGGTGACCTAAGATGTATTAAGATCATTAGTTAAGTAATGAGGTTTAGAAAAGAAAAACCTTCCGGATCTTAACGTAACGCTTAGAACCGATTTATTTAAGCCGTTTAAACTAAGCCTATCTACATCTTCCTGGCTACGTATTTTCTTACAAAAACAAGGTTCATCTTTTGATATTATTACGTATTCTACTATCTATACTGGTAGGTAGGGAATTCAATTCGACATCTCGTGTGATTAATGAGGATAATGAGATTCGATGAAGAAGCGTATCTCTGAGCGTTGGTATATTTGAAAATGTATGTCCAGTATTCCAGATATATTATGGACCAGTCAAAGTCAAATGCGACTTAATTTTCCATATGTCTATTAAATATAGGTATCTATCGTACGGAAAAAAATTAAAATATAATCAAACGATTATATCGTCAGATATTCTTTGCTGCTGATGAGATTAACACCGCATAATAAAACTAAGATAAACTGCATTTATCAATGATGTTTATGATATGAGTATGGGGGAGCAAGGGGTAGCTTTTTACACTTCACTTATAATAGCTCACTCACGCTGGTGCCAACCAGTGTTGAGTCTGAGAGGGCATTTTCAGCTGCTGGGTACATAGTGACTGACATAAGATGTTGCTTATCAGAAAGCAATCTCGATACTCTAGCTTCCTAAAAAGTTTTTCCAAAACTACTTATAAATTTAAATTTGTAGATACCCACACGATTTAATCGTGAATTAATTAAGCATCTAGAGAAATAGGTCTTTTTCTCTAGATTTATAGTATTCTAAGAATGGTGGAAAAATGTATTTAAAAACCCTGCCTTTAATGGCTAATATGGCTTTTATCTTTAGAAATTGATTTAATTGTCGATCTATGTCAGCTAAAATTGGATTGAGATTGCATATTAATTTTGGCCGTAAATCTGTTTTCGGTTTGGGTAGATTGACAAATAGGGTTCGAAATATCAAGGCCGATTGTATATGAGCATTTAATTAGCCATAAGGTTAAAGAGATGATTAAAGATCACGAGCAAGCCTTATGCACTCGGAAAAACCGATATGTGCACAGCCGGCATTTGAATGTACAAACATAAATATTAAATACCTTTCTCCCGACCTCCCCCCTCCCTTCTTAACCAGTATTGTTGTTAGACATCACGGTTAAACAATTTCCTTGTACTTTTTGTTTTTGTGTTAATACTACTACCATAGCTTCCCCCGCGAATTTCGTTTCGCCTAGTTTTTACTTAGCTTTACCTAACCTACCAACATATGGGACATTTTCCTATGCTACCCCATAGAGACTGTTCTATTTTTCGAAAAAAAAACTTAAGTGTACTAAATAAAACTAAATTTTTATTTTTCTCTCCATAAAAACCTTCAGAGTTCAAGGAATAAATAAAAATAAATTATTTGTCTTTGGTCACGCAATTTTCGAGCTTAGCGCTTAGCTACATATTTTGGGTTTAATTTTTATTTATCGGTATCCACAGATAAGTACGATTTATTAGTATTTGTTACTGTATACAGGTCCCCAATGATGTGGTTAACAAATTAATTTATAAAAGCAGAAACAAATATTAGGTATATATATAAAATAAGAACTCTATATGACGTGTAAGCGAGTCGAGCGGTAGACCTGGAGCGCAAACTTGGCTTCCAATAAAGGAAAAATCGCACGATCTCAGGGCTAAATTGAACGCACAATTCCTTAAGCTAAAACTGTATAACGTATGAAATAATAAGCAAATAAATAAAATAACAATTTATTGGTAAAAAATCACAAATAATAAGCACCGATATTCATATATTTTACAAAATCTAGTATTATCAAGATAAAATTCTACATTTTACTGTAAAATTATACGCCTACAAATATTAATTCATTCACTGTTTTTAACCGACTTCAAATAAGGAGGTTATAGATAGCTATATGTGATTTAGTTGAAATTCGATATTTGATTATGATTAATGATATATTATTATACATACATATAATAATATGTATTATATTGTTTGGCTTCCGAAGCACGTGTTATAAACTTCAAAAGTGTTTGCATATTTCTCTTGTCAAATATCTCGAAACCAATTTTTATATTCCAACTTTGTTTCATCAAAATCGGTTCATTCGAAATGGATTCGTATAATATAGATAATAACTAATTATAAATACGTTTTAAGGCATTTCAAAATACAATAATATTAAAATCACTGGGTATAACTAGAACAATGGTAACTTTGAGACATTTTGTTTAAAACAATTATTATTTGGTACCGATTAACTGAAGCGTAACATCGCAGGGTCAATGACAGCATGACCTTACGATGTTACGCTGTCGTATCGTTAATATTAAATTCTAAACAACCTGAAATCAGACATAGTTCATTCCACCAAAAACTTGTAAACTTCGATTTTTGAATGTCATACATTCAAATTTATACATAAATTGACAATTTACATCTTGGGATCACGAACAATGTTAAGTACTTAGGTAAATTTACAATTAATCTGTTATCATCGGACGTCGAGGCAGAATAAAAAATTTCCATCCGTATCACCTTGACATTCGTCGTTCCACAATTAATCGTTTTTTGCCGCGCACCACCACTATGTGGAACCCAGCTGCCAACTGAAATAATTCCGAACCAATTCGACTTAGGCTCCTTCAAGAAAAGAGCGTACCAATTCTTAAACGGCAACGCACTGCGAGCCTTCTGCCAATGAGACGGTCCACGCGGCGGTGTGACCTAACATCTGATGAGCCTCTTGTCCCTTGTGCCCACTGTTCAACCCAACCTTGTACTCTTCAAATGTGGCCCACCAGCAACCGCTTTGCTGATTCCGATGTTTTTGTATGCAAGTTTCTCTCAATATCCGAAGCGATGACGTCGTAGACTTAGGATCGCGCAAGAAAGACAGAAGCTTATTTATATCATTATTGGAAGTTTCAAAATAAGGGCTCAGGTTGGGATTATACGCCACTACGCAGTTTTAGTATCGTTCCGACCAATGTGTCTTCATTAACAAATTTCTCGTAGAAAAATACGCAAAAGTCAGACCTTGTGCCAATAACATCGCATTAATTATTGTTAATTAACGCAATTAAAGTTGCTCGTCACGTCAAGTGAATAACAAAATTTAAATCTAACATTTCTATTGATTTGTGGCATAAATGTGACGTACTGTTTACTGCAATGTCTTACATACAGCAAAGAGGCAGTATGAAGCAATATAAATCGTGTTGAAGTTACAACCGAAATTAAACACGATGTATATGAACTATAATTGTTACCTTAAAAACTATATCTTAATATATATATTTCTTGTGTGCGTGTGTATGTGACTGAACTTCTCTCAAACGACTGGACCGATTTTGATGAAATTTTTTGTGTGTGTTCAAGGGGATCTGGGAATGGTTTAGATTCACAAATCAGCCCGGCAGATGGCACTGCAGTCGGTACTTTCATACTTTGCTTAATATCCTAATCGCTTTAAATATCATGCAGGACAACGTCTGTGGGGTCCACCAGTTAACTATAATACAGTTAAAGGCGAACCTAATATGACAAACAAATTGAGATCGTATTTAAATATATATGCATTGGGCAAACATAAGTTTTTTTTTAATTCACGTTATAAACAAAAAGCTATGTTTAAGACAGAAAACAAAAATCGATTTCATCATACTGGTTGTGTAAAAATTGCATTACCAAAATTTCGCTTTAAAATTTCATGCATTCTCCACAAAAAACTAATCAAAATTTAAATTAATTCAAGTAATTTTAAGTAAATTAAAATTACTCGTTTGTCAGGTTTTGATACGTTATAGTTGTCGACTTCCACCTTAAGTATTGCACGATTCTGAAACATAAATTTATATGAATTATTAGTTACATTTATTCAACTATTAGAAGTCATAGGGGCATATTTTATAGTCCGGTCAATTTAGACAAAAATAGTGGTAAAATAACAAAAATTCCCGGAGAGCCAAATATTGGTGGAGAGCTGGGGTTTACCATTACAAATAAAGTTTTAAAAATCCCCATAAATCCTATATGTGCAACAAAAGTTATTCGGGGTCAAAGGTCAATTTGTTTTTCCTCGAAAACTGAAGATCTTAAAATTCTCTACAAAAATGGTCTACACGATTTTTTCGGCTCTCCGGGAATTTTTGTTATTTCAAATAATATACATATAATGACCGGACTATTAACAGAGAAAGAAGCATAAAGCAGACAGGCTGTGGGTGTGCTTTTGGTATCCGTTCCTGATCTGAAGGAACAACAATCACGATATAGTAAGGCAATTGGCTAGAACCCCGCAATTTTGCATATCCCCTCGAAAGTTACAGTGGTATATGGGACGCGACCCTCATCAGAATCTTTGCTATTCAGAGACTGGGTGAGTTACCCACTAAAACCAAGTCGGGTAATTCCAACAAGGCTGCGTTACCGGGGCCTCAAAGGCATAATTGTTACATGGCTACAGATGTCCTTTAAAACAGAAGTTCTAAAAATGTAAAACCAATTATTAATACTAAATAATAAGAAATATGGCACATTTTTCTGTACTGAATCGCACTATCTCGAATTTTTTGAATGTTACCCATATTATTATTACCATAATGTATTTAACAAAGCAAGATCACAAAAAAATTAAAAGTTACAATACGTACGTACAAAATAATTATGATTATATTATCAATCACAACGACCTATGTCCGCTTCAAGATAAATCAGAATATTGCATGTTTTGTGATATTTTCGTACGTTCAATAACGTTTAAAATTGATAGATCGTTAGCCCTACGTTATCTTAAATCAGTATTTCACTAACCGTTCAAGTATTCATTATTACAGCGTAGTTTCACTATTCATTAGAAGAGACAATGTACCCATAAATTAATTGACGACTCATAGTATTAATTTACCGTCTACTAAAGCTGAAGAATTTTTGTTTACTTGATCGGGCTTATCCCAAAGACTAGTTTTAATAAATAAAAAATTTTCATTAGTCATAGATAGTCCATTTATCAAGAAAGACTTAAAAACGTGACTGGCTGACATACGCCATCGACAATTTTTTCACCGTAAAAGTCCATTGGTATACTGCCTTGATTCGAACCTACGACCACAGGGATGATAAAAGCACGTTCAAGCCACTTACAAGGAAGCCTAAAAAACTATATATTTGAGATATCTTGGCATAATATATATATGTATATGAATATGTACAACTATACAGAAAACTGGTTTAAAAGGTTAGATTAGTCACGGTTATGACCATTCCAGTACGCTGATCGCATTATATAAATTGCTCTTGAAGAATTCTTACTTAACGGATTTAATCATTAGACATTGGCAGAGGCCTTACATAGTTCGTTTTATTTCATTGAACATCTCTAGAAGTATTATGTAACGTACTTATTACAATTTAAACGGAAATATATTATTATATATATATTATATATGTGATGATTATAGGTTTATTCTTTGTCATGCTGTCTGCACAATTGTACATGCATTATATATCAACATTAATATTATCACAATTCACAGTAGCAGAACAGCGGAAATACATTAAAAACCATGAAAATGTCCTATTTACCTTACAAATGACGTATAGTTCTGTTGAGTACTGAAAAGTATTCTAGAATAAACATACAGTTGCCGAATTCATGATTCTTTATAAGTGTTTACCTTTCATTGTACCAAGGCTACTACGTATATTGGCATGAACCGCTCCAAAAAGTAACAAAGACACAGCGCACGCTTTTAACAATTCTCAAATACATGCGCATACGCACCCATTCACACACTCACGCATTCACGCATACTTAATTATAAGACTTATGTTTGATTAGTATTTAGTTGTAACACTAAAACTACTTTTTCTCAAAAAAAAAAACTCTTTTAAACATGTACCGTGTACATCCACGGAATAATTCTTATTTAGTTACCCACAACACAGGGACTCTAATGTGGGGACTGACGGATGAATTTTGTCACCACCTATTTGTCATGCAAGAAGATTTTATTATTATTATTATCTGACGATGTCTGTCACCATACTAACAAGTTTTAATGAAGCATATGAATAAAAAATCATTGGTGCAATCCAGGGGTTTTGAAGGCACGACCTTAGGGTTTAAAAAGTGCTTACTAGTTGTTAAGTTCGGCTAGCGGCCTTTTGGTATATCCTGCTCGGATAATAATTAATGCCCGTTAAAGTGGGGTAAATTAATACGTAATGACACAGGAAACACAATAACATGGCAACCTTAAACTTCCGATTGCCATCTATAAATACACAAATCCAAAAGAAGTGTCGTCAACCTCAGTTAAAAATAAAACAAAGGACGAGATGTAAAAAGACAGCATTGAATGATAATGTCGAAAATTTTAAACACGTGCTCGCTAACCGACTTTTTGGACCGCGTACGCTTAATATAATAAATTCCCGTTAGAGAATTTTGTGTAGTACACATAAACTAATTTCTTTCGTTGCTTCTATATCTATGTAAGCTAATAAATCAAAATAAATTTTGTTATCCTATAATAATACAAGTATAACGAATGTAACTCTGCTGAGCGAAAATCGACTTTTAGTTTTCTGTAGAAATTATTATTACATCCGCCTATATGACCGTTGCGTATATTAAAGGATCCAAATCTTGACTTATATAAATAATTTGTTGAATCTTGAATATACAGTGTAAACTCTATAAAACTACGCTCAACGGACCGTGCATATTTTGACGTTACAAAGAGTTGTCGTTAAATAGAAAGAGGAAAAATCTGTATAAGAAAAAGTTTAATTCAGACTAGTGTTAGTAATGACATAAAAATGTATGTATGTCGTATGATGCCGACAGTTGAGTAAGTTGAGTTTATTACGGGATAGGACAATAAAGCGGCAAAAGAACGTACAGAGTTCCGCAGTTTTAACTAATTTTGGCAACTTAAAAAGTACTTTTATTATTTAATTCTCGTTATTTAGGGTGGAGGTATGCTATGTAGACTGTGTTATTGTATGGATGATAAGCTAAACCAACCAAAGCCGAGTGATTTCGACGCTTTAGGGACTTAGTCGTTAAATCGAGGGACGTTACATGGAGTTTACACTGTACTTATGTTAATGAAGGGTACATGTACAACTCGTAGGTTTTTTCCCGTTTTTACAATATTTTTGTCTAATGCTCCACACCTATTTGCTAAAGCTTTATCTTCAGAATTCTTCAGTAAATGGATCTTAACCCTATCCAACAGAAAAAGACTCAAATGTTCTGGAAATTTGCGAAACAGACAAAACTCGTTACCTTTATAATATAAGTATAGATAGATAGAGTAGTATACGACTTTGTGCTGAAATAGCTTAATGGCTTAAGGCAAAGCTTTCGCAATATTTAAGTTCTAAGGTTTGAAAGGAGCAGAAGGTCCATTGTGGTTTGGAATTTGTCTAATTTAAATCCTTTCAAATATTAACAAATTATTTTATTTTAGAAATTATCTAGAATTATTTTATTAGCATGGTTTTATTTAACATTATGTTTGCCTTTTAACTATTATATATATATATATATATATATATATATAAAACTTTATTGTGACAGAAGGTTGTGACAGAAATCATAAATCGCTAGTCCCCACACTAGGGGGCCCTGTGTTGTGGAACTATATATATATATGTTTTGTATATTATCTAATGCTGTACCTATATTTTTCGAAATAAAAATTATTATTACTTAAATTTGTACGCTGTTGTTGTTTGTATGTTGCTACGAAATATATGACCATGTTTCTTTTTTATTATTACCTCAATATACTACGTTGGGGACACATAAATACTTCTTTCTCTAAACAATCGAAGACCTTTGTAATCAAAATAGAAATTCATACAAAAACTCACCCCAAAAATGTCACACAGATTCCAGTAATAGCTGAGCACAATAAATAAAAGGCTCCAGGGAAGGTTGATATAGTATATGCGTATAACGAATTATACACAGCTGGTGATATAAGCGGTGCCACTCCCTCTATAGCGCACATCAACGCAAACACCTTAGCAATATCCTGGGCTGGCAGTATCTTTGTAATCATAGAACGGATAAGTGGCGATGATAAATCCCGGAACAATGATATTCCGGCAGCTGAAACAAAAAATAGATTGATGTTTAAAGTTCTCTAAGCAACGATTCCCGGAGCTCAAATTATAATTAAAGTTCGTTCGGAGAACAAATTAAGTTGAGTTATTGCATTGTCACCCGACCGAATTGTAAATTCTCACATATGTCAATGGCATTTGTATTGCCGTAAATGAAATGAAACGAAAATGGTTTTTCAGAGGCCATAGAAGAAAACATGCAGTCATCAGAATCTCGGCAGAAGGAAGACTTCCCCGTGGGCCTCAAGGATTGACGCGAGTTGACACAACTTTAAAGCTCGCTTTGAGATAAAAAAATATGCCTACTGTTGTTGTTTGCCGAGGAATTTGTTCCAGGGCACTAGAATATTCAAACTTATCTCTTGATGGCTTTAGAGACTCCACTACCGTTATCATCACATACAGCAAGAACATCAATCGTATAAATTTAATCCAGGTTGATTTACGATCATTGCATTTGGAAATGCAAAAGGAATTCTACGGTGTCTAATTGCCAATAAATCAGCCAACAATTTGATACTTAACGGTAATACTTATAAACATAGTCTCTATTTAAAGTATTAAGCCAAATCAGCCAATGATGTTGGATATTTTATCTATCTGTATATATTAAAAATAGATCAAAAAAATTTCGAGAAATTATTGATAGATATTTCGAAAGGTATCAAGAATCGAATTATTATAATACTGGCGGTACAACTTTATGTGTCATCATTTTCTTCTTTATATGGATGATTACTTATTTCTAGTTTCGTATTGTTAAATAAACGATATAATTTCTAATACAAAAACATTATCTTTCTTAATTAGTTCTTTTTAATCTGAAATATTGATTGACCTTGATTTTAAGAAAACCAATATGGTTCTTAAAATGGAATTAAAGTATAAAATAAAGTAATCCAAACTCTATTAATTCTTGGGCAATATACATAACCTTTAAAGAATTTCAGAAAAGTCCGCTCGGAATGTAAATTTACTACCCTAATTAGAATGCACAATTAACTGCAATGTTTTCTAACTTTTTTGTTCTAATTACGGACAAATTTGGGCGAAAAATCGTTGTTGGAATTTCAAACACAAATATCTATGGATAGAGATAAATAATCAAATTCTAATTTTGCATGTACATCTGGATGAAGGCAACGGCAGTGGAGGTTCTGTCTAACAAGAGTCAGATCAGATAGACTATTGATGATTATTTTTTTAATAAATGCTGATTTATTTTAATGAATGGTTGGTTTATTATATCATTTACCTTTGTCTATGAAATCCTATAATACTATTTTGAGACGCAGGATTTAAGAATTATTAGAATTGAGGACTCATTCGTTAATTAAGTTTTTTTGTTTTTTATATTATGGCAATAGTTTTGACTTTATGGTTAATTAAGTTAATACAGATGAGACATCTGTACAAACAACAATAAAAAATGGCCATTTCAAAAAAAACAAATTACTAGCTATAAATAGTTTGCAATTAATAAAAATGCCAGAGTTTATACGCGTTTTCGATTCAACCGACAGAAAACTGGTTTTATAGAATTGTGTTAGACTGACCTTGGAAAAGATTATATGCTTTTCATTATATCAGCTAGTCATTATACGAAATAAATTAATAATTTAAAGTTTTCGTGGAGGTTTTGGGTTTAGGCAATGTCGATTTGGTTAGCTACAAAATTCAAATAAATTTTTACGACTATCGCTTAATATAATATATAAAACTATTTTTGTGACGGACGTGCGCTGAGTCATTCTAAAAATAACAAAGGGCAATGTTTTTAAGATCGGATTTTTTTTTTTTAAATTAACATGTAATTTTTACTAAAAAAACAACAAAATCACTTACCTAGATACATATGCCACGTCGTGAATGCAAAAGCTTTAATAATATATTCAGCTGCTGTCGATATAAAGGCGATCATCGAAAACGTCAAGTCCGACACTTTGAATATCTTTTGTATGAAAACAACACCAAAGAAGGATCCAAAGAAGGCAATAGTCGTATGCGCCGCCGAATATATTGTATACTGTTTTATAGCCCAGTGCAATTTCTGTCGCGTGTACAAATAGCCCAGGCTCATAGTTCCATACATTATAAAGATAGACAAACTATTTGCAACTGTGAGTAGCAATATTTGTGCTCTGGTGTAATTTGGACGCTTTTTAAAACATTCAGCTATCATTTCCTTTATTAACTTGAAGTCCAATAAAGATTTAATGCCACCCTGAAAAGTTTCATTTCTTTAAACGGGACAATTTAGGTGATTTAGTGTGAGGCGGTTCTACCTTTTTTAGCCTAGAGGAGGCAATTACTACAAATTTCTGAACCAAGACCAAACGATTAACACTTTTGATAAACGAAAAATTGTCTATTTCACCCGTGTCTATTTGGCCCGTTTAGAAGCGCCAATACACATAAAGTTCGTGCTTCGTGTCATGCAATATGACTGAATACGCTATGAAACTTTTTAAATCGATCCCTGTTGCATCTTAGATAGTCTTATTCATAAAAAATTTAACGCCCCAGCGCTAATTTCCTTCAGTTAGCTACATACTAATTATTTTGCGAAAATACTAAATTATACCTTTTGAGCACCCGGCAATGATTCGTCGAGGCAGCAATTCGTGAATACATAGGCAATTGCGCAGAGGAAGGCCGTAATCAATAGTAAATACACATTTCCCACTACTCTTAGTAGGTACGAGCTTGCTAGGGAACCTATAACACTGCCTGCGGAAACAGATGCCTCGACTATTGTCATCCTAAAAAAGGTTTTTCAATAAATACAAGTGAAGGTTTTTATGTACAACAAGTGTGTTAGATTAATTTAACACTTCATACTCATAAGATTAGCATCTCCAAACAATTTGTAAAAATTAGTATAAAGAGCTTTTTGTATTTCTTCCTAACTTAATTACCTAAGTGACCGATTTTCTTTAGATGTGACATCGCTCAAATAACAAAATGCGCCAGTGAATAATCCTGTGAATCCTCCAGATAGTGACATAGGAATAACTGTGGCTATGAACCACCACGGCCCGAGATTGTCCATCATACTGTATATGACAGTCAATCCGCTACTAATCGACATACCTGAAACCAATTTTATGTAATATGGAATGAAAGGGAATTTCTCGCTGACTAATGTTGTTGAAAAGCAATGAAATGCCATATAATTTGTGGTTTTATTTAAACCCATAGTACAGTATTAAATGGAATGACACAATATATAAATGAACATTAAGACAGTAGTTTTTGAATCCTAATTCCTATTCATGCAGCTGTTCTGTTAGTAAATTATTATTTTTTTAATTTATCATTTTTTGAACTCTGTTTTAGGACCAAGTTCACAATATAAATCATGCAGAATGCAACAACACTATGATAGTTATATAGCTATTGGTATGTACATATACATTCGGGATCGGTATTAATCAGCTCCACATGAACAAAATTTATAGTTTATACACAGATCTGGCTTAAGTAAATTTACTACATAATTAAATTTTACTATTTAAGACTCTCCTTTTTACTAATTGTACCATACTATATACATATACTATATTTTTAATCAGCTTAAATATTAACAAATGTAAAAAGCATACCTAGTAAGGGCCAAACAACTAATGGTTTTCTCCCATATGTGTCAGACCATACCCCAAGAAACAAAGATAATAGAGCTGGAGCCAGGGACTCTATTATTGTTCTAACCATAGATACAAAGGCTGCATACTTCTGTACTTCTTCCTCTAATTCCTGAGATCCATTATTCTTTACGGGGGATAAAAATACTTGACACTCAGTTTCATTATGACTACATGAGTGCAAACAAGTTCGATATAATAATATATTGCTTATTGCTACACCTAAAACAATTTTATAGTTCAGTTTTGGCTTCATCAAAACTAACTAACAGAACAAGTTAAGATTCAAGATTTATTTTATTAACAATCATGTCTCTTATATTTTGTATTAATATTGATTGTCTTAACTTTAATACAAAAACTTCTTAAGGTGTTTAATTTCATATAAAAGACTTACCAGAGAGTGATACAGACAATATTGTAAAAAAAAGTGGCATTTCTATTGTCAATCTATAAGGCTTGCTGGTGACTTCACTTAAATCATTTATATTTGGATTACTTTCAGATACACTTTCATTTTCTTGAACCATTTTGAAAATATAACAAATTCGTTTTTATGAACGGGTTCACAGTACCAGAGAAATATAGAATTTAAATGATGATTAAAGTCATTTCAAAAATTAAAAAGACATTTTACTGAATTATTTCGCGTAATTGACATAACATTTAAAAACGCGTGATAGCTGAGACACAATCGCTTGCGTTTGGACTGTGGCTTAAAATAATTCATTTCAAGATTACAGTTTTCCGTCATTGTTTATGTAAATATTTATTAAATAAAATATAGACACCTAATCAGTAATCAGTGATTTCGCCGCGTTCATAAAGCGCAAATCACAATTCACAATGCCAATTGCCAAGCAACAAGCCATCAATGTCTAGTAACGACTCAATGACATTCTTCAGACTTCACGTTAGGCTTATATCAATGTCTTAAGTTAAAATAGAAAATGTTTAGTTGATATTAATAATTTTGTTAAACCTGCAACCTAAAATAGTAACAAATTTTTATTGCATTACATTAATAATATACATGATGTGTGAATCTTTAATTAAAATAATATGATTTCTTTATAATCCACATAGACTGTCATTTCTGTTTATGGGAGTGTATAATAGGTAATGTCGTAAGACTGTGGAGTCATAAAATACATTTTATCTTTATTCTAAAGTCTGTAGTCTGTGTACTTACTGTAGCGAACGCGACATAGATCGGAATTAAAAAGCTTTTTGGTTAAAACATTGAAGAAGATAAACGTTTTTAATAAATTGCTAAAATTGTTGATGATACATATTAAAACAACATTATCGAAATAAAACCAATACAGGTAAGCGTTATATTGACTATGAATTAGGACAGCATCAATGATTTTTGTTAAAGTAGTGCAATTTTGATGAGTCGCCTACTGTCATTACATCCGCCGTTAGATAAAATGACTCTGTAAAAAGTAAATTAACTCCTTGGTACTAATTCCCTATGTGTAGATATTATGTACAGTTATTACATTTTATAAAAGGGTTTCATATAATGTCATCCAGCCCTTAAAATTATCTCGACCTATTTATAGATCGACTTTCTTTTTATGTGAGCAAGCAGCCGGTGTTTAGGAACATCAGGCATAGGTGATAATCTTTAGTTAAATAGTTACGGTATGGTTTCTTACGATTTTAGAAAAGAAGTTACTAGCAAAATGGCAGTAAATGTGTACTCAACCAATGTTACATCGGAAAATTTATCGCGTCATGATATGTTGGCGTGGGTGAATGATGCTCTGCAGTCGAATTTTTGCAAAATCGAGGAACTTTGTACTGGAGCTGCATATTGCCAATTTATGGATATGTTATTTCCTGGCAGTGTACCCATGAAACGCATTAAGTTTAAGACTAACTTAGAACACGAATATATACAGAACTTTAAAATATTGCAAGCAGCTTTCAAAAAAATGGCTGTTGACAAGGTAACTATTTATTATCTTTCCTGTTTATTTTAATGGATGATACAAAACTATTACAAGTAATATTGATATTGAATGAATAAAATGTTTTTATTGTATTTAATATTAGTATAATAGAAATAATATTTCTATACAATTTCTATAGGTGAGATTTGAAAGACAAACTTGTGACACCATAGGAATATGTTATTTTATAAGCTGCAAATTCTAAAATGTTATAGGTAATACCAGTGGACAAGCTGATTAAGGGGAGATTTCAAGACAATTTTGAGTTTTTACAGTGGTTTAAAAAGTTTTTTGATGCTAATTATGATGGAAGAGAATATGATGCGTTTGAAGCTCGTGGCGGGATAACGATTGGGTCAGGAGCATGTGATAGTGGCCTTCCACTCTGTAGTGCCGCGCCAACACCGCGCATTCGCAGAGTGGCTCCTCCACACCAATCGGGCAGTACGCATCAATATCTCTCCTCAACTATTTGCTTAGATGCATTTTGGACTCTACATTATTCTTCTTAACATTGGTCAATATAAATGCATCTAGGTTTTTCATATGCATATCCATGCCCACCAAAGTCCCCAACATTTCAAGTCCAATTCCTTTTACTTTGAATTTTTATTTTGTAGATAGTACCCATTGACAGACTGGTGAAGGGTCGATTCCAAGATAACTTTGAGTTCTTGCAATGGTTCAAGAAATTTTACGATGCCAACTACAGTGGCTCGCCATATGACGCGATGGCGCAGCGTGAAGGGCTGCCAATGGGGCACGGATCGGCGGGCGCGGCGCCCCGACAGATGCCGTCTGTAAAGAAGCCGGCTGCGCCCATTGCTAAAGTCGCCGCTAGACCCCAATCCAGTACTATTTCTTTTCTTTACAGTTTGATTTTATCATATTGCTGACAACAGTATATTTTTAGAGTTTTATCTATTTATTCTATCTATATTTTTAAAAAAGTAAACCTTTAAAGTATTCCTTTTTTGTTATATGTTAGATTTATGTGAAACTATTATTTATTGCCATGATTTCATTTACCTTATTTCCATTTTCCTACATCCTTTACATTGTTTATTTGTAACTGTAGTTATTATAAGTAATATATCAGTTTACCTTGAAATATAATTATTAATTAGCTGAAAATAATATTTTAATATAATTTATATTAATTTAGTAGCTTTTTACTCTAACACTGACTAAATTCTTTTAAAGTATTGAGCTTATATTATAAGCTTTGTTTTCAATGTTAATAATATCAAAAAATTCCATCAGTTGTGAAAGCAAACAACACTGCAATCCGATCGCCTCCATCCAATTTAAGGCTAAATCAAAATGCAAAGGGGGACTCCAGGGTTATTGAAGAACTCAATCTTCAGGTAATTAAATCACATTTTATACAAAAATATATGTGTGGTTTTTGTACATGAAATTATCTATGAAAATATTCTAGTATGTGGTCTTAGTGCATTTCATATTTCATAAATTTTTCACACTATTAGAAATAAAACCCAGCCAAAGTATTTAAAACCAATCCTCAAAATAATCATTATTTATTTTACAATTATTTTTGTGTTTCAAGGTAAATGATCTGAAAGCATCATTGGAAGGTCTTGAGAAAGAGAGAGATTTTTACTTTGGTAAGCTGAGGGAAGTTGAATTAATTTGTCAAGAAATGGCAGGACAGCCCAATGTTGACCTTGTAAAGCAAATTTTGGATATTTTATATGCAACTGAGGTGAGCATAAGTATAAGATAGATACTAAGTGTGTGTTGTTTCTGCCATTAGAAAAATATAGAATATACAACATTATTATTTGTAACATAACTTATATAGCATATAAATATTGTCAAATTAATTTCTCAAAGCACTATTACGGGTTGGCTAAAATTTTTCATAAAGGCAAGACATGAAAAAATACTTAAGCAACACCTTTGTAATGTGTTGTTTCAATAGTATTATTATTAAAAGAATAAGAAATTAAAAAAAAATTACAGCAAAATTAAATGAATACTTGATAATAAGAAAATGTTGTATAGAAACCAACATGTCTCAAACTGCCATATGTCTGTCAGAAGGCAGACTGATCATCTATTTGTCTATGAAAAAAAGGGATTAAAGAATCTAATGCAATCTGAGGCCAAAACCGATATAGGGTTGTAAAGTTCCTGGATTATTATGTTTCTATATTTAAAAAGGTGTCTTCCCCAAATGACTTTCGACAGATAGGGTATTAATACTCCTCACTCCTCCATTGTGAATTTTTGAACTTTGAACCAACCACCATTGGTTGGAGATCAATTTGACCTGTAATTTTTTATACAGTGCTCATGGAAGCTTGTCAAGCGACGAGCTTAGTGCATTTCACAATAACAACCGACTAAAACATTTTACTTTTGAGTTCATCAAACTGAAATTTGTTTGGTTTGCCTCGTTGTCCATTCAATTGTTTCTTTTCATACAATGATAACCATGTATAATGCTAGAAAATATGCAGCTCCTTCGGCGTCGCTGTATAGAGTTTACAATTGTTTTGCATTTGTTCTATCAAAATATTTCAGGACGGATTTGCACCACCAGAGGACTTGGACGGTGACAACCCTCACCCACCAGAGGAGGATGAGTATTGAAGGAGTTCATCCGTGCTCACTGTACATAAATATATCAAAATTTAATAGCTTCACTATCGACAGCACTCTGTGCTTAGTATTTCACAGCCAATAAGTCGTAACCCTTAGACTTTGCGAATTGATTTGTTACATTTATGTATGTGTAAAGGATTTCAATAATTAAGAACCTTATTCATTAAACTTAGATTTATTTCTGTTTTAACTAAACTCGATCAGCCTCTGCATAATACCTTAAGCACAATTCACAATGGACAAGTGTTTAGTTAAACAGTAAAAATTTAGTTTTAATAAGCGACCAGTTGCTAGAGACAAAGGGTTAATTGAAGTGCAGGAGTCATGCGTAGCGCAGTTTCCATTCTAAATCTTACGCAAAGTCAATAACAAAATAACTGTCAACTAAACCATTTCCAAATTATTCGACCGTGAAGTTTGACCTTGTAAATGTAGGTACTACAGTTTCTTGAACCTTATTTAGGTGTCAGTTTAATTATATTCGTATAATTTTAATTATATGTAACCGTTTCATGATAACAAACTCCGTGAGAATTAGGACTGAGAACGTAACATAATTTATTCCTTTTAACTGGTTTTAATTGATACATAATATAAATGTAACATCTCACAAGCAAATATATTATATTAGAATAATGGTAAAGCAGTGGCCCAAAATGGCTAATAAAGTTCCTATTCTCCATTCCTTTAATGCCTACTCAATACAAATCGTTGACAATTCGATATACTATAATACTGTTATGGCTGTGGTAACTAAGTGCGGATTAATATTGAGCCTGTATTTTTTAATGACTCCTTTTTGCAGTTTAATGACTTTACTCTTCGTTCATAGCTTTCGCGTATTAAGTGACAATCGGATATCTAATGCTATGCTATGGTATAGAAAATTGTCTACAGTATTTAAATAATGTTGTAAATACTCATCATGTAGAAGTGAAATTATTTTTTAAATCATATTTACTATCTAATTTTTGAATGCAATTGTCATGTATCCTCATTTCCTACATTAAACCAATAAGTGCTCGACAAATATAGACCTGAAATAAGGTGTTTATGCACTCCAGTTGTGTCATAAGTACTAGTTTTGCATATAACATGACTATCGTAAATATTTGTCTTGCTTAAGACAATTTGGTAAGTGCAATGAGTTGTTTTATTGCTACCTTCAATTTGAACTAAAAGTAACCACCTGCTGAAGGATCTCATATGGTGCAGATGACTGGCATTCATTTTTGGGCCACTGGCTGTAAAAACGTGCATTTAATAGGTTGTTATGATATGGAAGAGATTTAATGTTAATTGTTACATTGGTTCGGCTGAATGTACTTGGTAACTTCATAAATTAATATGTATTTTATTGGGGTTTATTAATTGGTTGCCTGTTGAAATAAAACTTACATTGGTAGCTTATACAACAGAACTATGTTTATTAAACAATTATATGTTTATTGTATCCCATTAAAATAAAAACGAAAAAAAAAATGCAACTATTTTATTAAGTGAATTTATTTGGATATTGGTTAATGAAAAACAAGTAATTTATCTAGATCTGAATACTTAGAATTGAGATAAACATTAATTGAATGTTGTGATGGAATTCGTAATCGAAATTAGTATATAAAGTTGTAGGGCCTTATTTAACACATACGTCTGAAGTTTGCACCAAGATTAACAATAAAATTATAATTTAATTGTTTAAATAATTTTAGTTATGATGTTTATAACATATAAAGTACTGAACGACTTGTTGGCGATTTATTTTGCATATGACAACTTTTTAAAGTCAAGTCCTAGTTGGCATACTGTAATGCCAACTAGCACTTGACATTGTGAAATCCTTAAAAATAAAATTACTTCATTTAAATAGCATTGTTTTATTTATGACACTAATTGAATTAAGCTACAAGATAACATAACAGTATAAAAGCAGTCTACCTAGATAATCCTATGATGGTCAATTGAGGTCATTATCTACACACTGGTTCGTAAATACTCAGCTACGTAAGGTACTTAAAAGTCAATTACTCCATATTCAATTTGTAATGACCTTATTAAATCATAATAAGTTAACGTAATTAACTACTGCTGCAAAAAATATAACATCAAAGCAAATATTGTAACTACAATGAATGGTTAACAAATTTGGTAATAAATGAAAATTAATATACAACTTGCATTAATTATCACTTCAAGTACCCATAATCATAAGTATGTCGAATGGAAAGACTAGCCCATGACACGGAAATCCAAGTGTGGTATCCTAATGCACTTTCTCATTACTGTACATCTTTTAAATTATGTGATTTTCTTATTTTTACAAGAGAAACTTTGTTTCCTAAGTTCGAGCTTCTCCTAAAAAATTATGGTCAGACGAAAATATACATGATTAGAAGTATATAATAAATAACTAACACAATTACTACACCTACTCTCCGTGATGAAACTAAATGAGAAAAATACAAAGCGTAGAAAAGAAAGCAAAATTCACAAATGCGTACTATAGAAAAATACTTGTAAAGTGTGAATAAAATTCACTTCATTTTAATAAGGCGTTTATAGAAGGCCTATCTTGAATTATTTTTATAATTTAGCCTAATAATTCCACGATAGATCGATAGAAATGATAGTAATGAAGAAGAACATAAATAATGGTTCAACTAAAAATATTTTTTTTAGATGTGTTAAGGCATGCATTTAGTTTAATGCCATAGAACGAGGCCCAATTACATACTTTTATGGGCATATCCTGTAGTTTGGCATTTCTGTTGTTATGCTTATCTTCGACCAATTAAACGATGCGGGGATTACAAATCTCGTAGCAAGAAGCATATATCGTCGATTGCGTATAGCATTTCATCTAGCAACTCGGCTAGCGGAGATTTCGATAGCATGATGACTTATTTAGTAACTATATCAAAACGCGTTGTTTTTATTTTTTCTTGGTCTTAAACTTTTTAGAGAAATATTGTGATTATCGTCACTAAGTTGAAAACTATTTTCTTTTGATGTTCTTCTTTCGTCACTTTCACTTCGTTTGGATCTCGTCCTACTAGATACATTTAAATTATCGCTAGTATCAAGTGAGCTATTTGCGTCTTTTGCATTATCTTTTAAGGTCTTGCTACTTTCTTCTGTTTTACTTTTTTTTGCTTTAGTTGTCTCATCTTCACATTCAGAATATTTTTTGTTAGGCCTTCTTATCCTTTTACTTTGTTGAATGTTTGAAACTTCTGGAGTATTCGGCTTCTTATTTTTATTACTTGAAGCAATAGTTTTCTTCTTTTCTTTGGCAGGCTTTTCAGGCTCAAGCTGAATTTGATTATTTATGTCTTCAATTACTTTCGGAATCACTTTTTTTATAGTTTGTTCTTGGTCATATGGCTCCTCAACTTCAGTGGCAGTATTCAATCTTTTCTTAGAATTAGCGATTTTGTTTTTTAAATCTTGCACAGTTAATATTTTAGCTCTATTTTTACCTACTCGGTGTGTAGTATTTAAAGCTGATACGGTGACATCTTTAAAGTGATCTGTAAGAGACATTATTTAATTACGTTTAATTTTTTTATGAATAAGACTATACAAGGCATTTTTCAAACACACCATTCATTCATCTCCTCCAGGATGGAGAAATGAATCCAGCCATGAACTATTCTTAGTGTATCCCTGTAACATATTTGATGTGATTCATTTAGAAATAATTTTATTAATTATAAATGATCTTAATAATTTTCATCGATTAGGAAAAGATATATTTTACTTAAAATATAATTTCTGAGTAAATACATCATTTTAACGCTAAAACCACGGCTGCTAGACTACTGTTTTATTAATATTTTTGGTCAACTGATGCCTTTTATATACCAACATGTTTCACCTCACCACGCCAATCCACTGTACTAGTGATAAATTGCTCTTAAAATTGTTAACATAAACTTACCCCTATTCGCAGTGGGTCGTGCTATTTTCCAAACAGGTATATTTTCAGATTCCATTTCACTTTCTATATCAGTTTCCCAGAAGGTTATCATACGATTTGATCCTGAAATTTTAAATTATACCAAACATTAAAAGCAGCGTGTTTGATAATATCTAGGCAAAGAATCATACTGACAATTTACAGTTAAGTTAGAGGCAGAATAGTTTTATTCTTCAAGCTGGTTTTGTAGAAGTCACACAAAACAACTAACAATAATTTAATTATCATCAAGTCACAAATACTATTATTCAATAGACAACTCTTTCTTTTCTCTAGTCTGATGGTGACAAAATAAAAAACATGACTTGATATTGTATAATAGATTTTTTATATGTAATATAAGTATTTTTATGATAATTAAGACAATGGTTAATTATTATTACATCATTAGTGAATTTAATCAAGTTATTATGATTATTTCAGGAATAAAACTTGCTGATTGATGGTTAATTACTTTAATTGGAGAATGAAAAGGCCTCCATAAATATGTAATAAATAAAATAAGATTAATATCATAAGCATAAAGCAGTACTTACTTTGTGACACAGTCTTAGAAGATCCTGAATTTTGGCAAAGAACATTCTGTCTTGTAACTCTACAATCTTTTGCTTTGGATGAGCTCGCCAATTTACCATTTTCATCCTTGTCAATGTTTGTTTGTTCAAGAACTGTGCCATTGAGTGTTTCATCAGTAAATGTACCACTTACATCACTATCAAACTTGTCATCCGTGACAGTATTTGTTTTACTAGATGCTGCATATATTTGATCAGCGGGTACTATTTTGTGAATTAAATCCAATACATTGTCATCCTCATCAGAAACATTTCTATTTAGACAAGACTGTGTTGTTACTAGTTTTCTAGTTTTATTCCGTTCTTTATTGTCAACTTTAGTTATGGGACTTGGTCCAGCGGTATCAGATAATCCTTTAGAGTTTAAAAAATCTACTTTCTGTGTGAATAACTTTCGCTTTGAAAAACTAGATTTCATAGAAACTTCAGCTAATTTTGATTCCTCACATTCATTTTGTATATCTCCAGGTACTTCATTGTTATTAACCAAAATTGTGGGTGGTACTGACTCAGAAATAGCTATTTCTTTTGCATTACTAGTGTCTTTAAGTTTAGGTACTAAAGGTTTTTTAAAAGTATCTTTTAAAGAATTTAATTCAGAATTTGTAACACTATTTGCAAGTTTTATTCTCTTTGCATTGTTATTGAATTGATGATCAAATGATCGTTTTCTATTTTCACTGTCAGAAAATATTTCTTCATTTTCACTGCTTAGACATTCTTGGCTTACTACTAATTTTGGTATATCATTAGAATTATTTTCACTTTCTGTTGTATTATTGAACCTTTGAGAGGGAAACATATATTCACTTGAAAAATAATCTTTTAAAGTTCGCCCTTCATTACATGTTTGAGTGGAGTCTGGCTTGGCTACTTCAGCACAATTGTTAGACGCTTTTTGCTTAATTGAAAATATATTTTTTTTAAGAGCAATTGTATGGTTTGTGTATTGATCTTTATTATTGATCGAATTCATCAGTAAAGATTTGTCTACTTGACTTATATGTGGTCTTCTAAGTAACCTGTCATCTTCATTGCCACTTATAGGTGAATCACTACTATCTCTATCCGAATATTTCATACTTCTAATATGTCTTATAATATTACTTCGGTTACTTTTGAGCACCATAGATTTATGTCTATTTTTTTCATACCTCCTTCTTTGTTTAAGTTTTAATTTCCGGCAAACTATTTCTTTAATAATCTGTAATTCATGTGTATTAAATGTTTCAAACTTAAGAGCATTTGTTATGTCAATAGCAGTTCTTGTTGTATCTGAAAAAAAAGAAAAATTTCTTAAATATTGTAGGCGCCTGGTAATAAAACTATTCATTAATCACATTTTAAAAGTGTGAAATTGTGTAATTAACAATTTACTAACCCACACTACGGATTGACATTGGAGATCTACTCCTGCCATCAATAACAGATCTATGAGAACTTGCATATTGTCCAGGATGAAATCTAGGAGGTCCAACATCACTTCTTAAAGAAAATGGAGATATTGCTCGTTCACGGTACATGCTCCGGACATCGTGTTGTGGAAGATCCAGCTTGTAGCGATTGGAATTGAATTGATCAATATTGTTCATTAACATCATTTTTGAGTTTGAGTTCCTGCTAAATCCACCTACAGATATTTCCTAAATGAAATAACAATATATGTTTATAAAACAAACTTAGGTGATAGACAAAACTACAAATTTATATTTTATTTCGTACAGTTCAAGCACAATACTAAAAACAATAATTTTACTACTACCAAAAATAAAAAATGCTATACAAACCCCAATTCCGGTACGAAATGTCACCATATTCTCTTCTTCGATGTCCGACATACTGTAACATTTACCACAATTCACAATATTTTGATTTTTCAGTTAGCGTGGATTTTGTTTTTAACGTTTATTTTACAAATTTGAAATCCCTAAATACAAACTGTCAGACGTCAAGACTAGTAATAGTAATAGACATAAATTTTTTTTTATATAGATCAAAGTCCATTGGCACTTACATAAATACTATATACTGAAGGGTGGCCAACTCCGAAAAATATTTTAGCAATACAGGTAGAAAGTAGAGATGATATGGATATAGAAATAAAATTATATCGGTTACGGTTACGATATTTAATTATTTCGGACTATCCGTTAGTTTCAGTTACGGTTATTAGATTGAAGTAAAATATAACTACAAATAGTATGTAATAGTTTAGTTTTATATATAGGTTTAATCCTCCTCAGTTTTATCTATTAAAATAAAAGTGCAATAAATTTAATAGCTTTACAAAAACATTTAGCTTTATACATTGCACATATGTATTAACTTATAACCTATGTATAACATATTAAATGTTTTCTTTTTAATTATCTTTGTGAGTAATGAAATTATTAACAAAAACCTGTCGAAACATGTAGTTTTATCTAGATTTTAGACTCCGCCCTTATCCGAAAGTTGTGAAACGGATACGGTTACGGTTATGGATATATATTTATTTCGGATATCCGATTGTTTCGGTTACGGTTACGGAGCTCCATAACATCCCTGGTAGAAAGTCTTTACTACTATCGGTGTAAACGTACTTTACCTAATGTTTTTTATTGTTGGTATTTCTATCTTATATGATTTCTATAACAGAGATAAATGTTGTGCCGAGTTTTAACCACATATTCTCGTTGAAGGCAATCTAAATAAAACGTAGTATACAAAAAAAATTGGTAACAATAGGCGTTTATTGTTTTCACAATGTAAATTCTTATTAAAATATGTAAACATGGTATGGAGCTAAATTAAATCTACCTTACAAGCATATTAAGCAACATATTGACTATTATACAAAAACTTAATACAAAAAATTATATGTACTGCATCAGAATTATTAAATTTCAATTAGATTCTATGTTTGCATTTACTTCAAAGGTAGAAGATTTTGAGTCCAGTGATTGTCTGAAGAGTTGGGAATGTTGCCAGGATACATCCCCTTGTCCGCCACTAAGGTGTGCTGTTACTATAACCTTTTTAAATCGGTTGCTAAATTCTGTAGTAGTTTCTGAGAACAACAATGTTATTATAATAAAATTAATAAAAAATTGATATAAAAGTCTACAATGTACAAGGTATAAAATTACTATTGATAAAGCTACAATTTATTAAATAATGCCCTTAAAAAAGAACATAAATCTAATACTAAAAATATTTAGAACTATTTCAACTATAACAAAGATCCCGGTTGCAAATTAGACAAAATAATAACCATTGAAATCAGCAACGCTTGGATTACTGTCATCAAATTGAACCTGCCATTCGATGTTGCCGTTTTCAAAAATAGCGGAAGTTGCTCGAACAGTAAGTGACGTAAATATTAAACCATCTTTCACGGATAATTTCCAAGATACCCTTCCAGACATTTCTCCTTCTAAAATCAAAATGGAGTATTTAACCAGATGTTAAAAACTACTTCAGAAAATTTATTAGTGACTATAGACTATAAATCTATACAAATTGTTGTTTATAATTTTGTTAAGTTTTTAATGATTTAAATTAAACGTTAATAATAATTTCAAGAATCGGCAACGCTTCTATAGGTAAGATGACGTCGCACCAGTCAGTATGACGGACCATGCTTACAAGTAGGCAATCATCAAGTTTTTCGTGTATCAATAAGTGTTATATTTTGATCAAAGAGTCTTCAACAAAATTAAACTCTGGCTAAAATTATTTACAAGTAACAATCTACGTCATCTTCGATAAGTGACCCTTTTGTGTCTCATGACTGTCAAAAGAGAAAATAAATAAATAAATTTATTTTTTTAAATTCAATATTTTTAATTATGTATTTTTTTTTATTAATAAAAATATACTTGTTATTTATAGAACACTCTTTTTAGCTATGTCTTATATAGATTTCTCTCAATACTACCTTATTTTTCATATGGTCAAATAGCCTATTGTAATTGATAAACCTAAAAAAATATGTTATGAAAATCGAAACGATCGTTTCATCAACTATTATTTAGCGTATATTTTAAATATAGAACCTTTAGTATAGAGTCAATTAAAAAAAATTAATTATGTAACATGAAAAATATATGGACCATAATGGAGAAAAAATATAAGAACCTTCTCTTGCTATATAAACCTGCCGCCAGTCTTTTTCCACATTTCTAAAGACATGTTCACCTTCATACACCCCCGAGCCCCACCCATCTAATGTTGATAGTTGTTCTCCATTCCTACTAATCTGGTACTTATCCGAGCTACAGTAATATTTTACACTGACTTCCCCTGGTTGGTCAAATTCAAAGCCATGCCCAAATTGGGAACCTATTTCACCACGTTGCGTTTTCCATTCCTTAGAGCCGGATATCCGTCCTCGGGATTCGAAATCACTTGGTTTTCTGAAAAAGTTGTAAGTACCATTCACTTACCGTTCCAATAAAAAAAAATTCGTAGACCAGTACTAGCATGAGTCGAGCGAATTGTCGCAATAACTTAAAAAAATAATTTTGACATTTTAAAGCAGTGTTGCCCGCTAAAAGATATTGTAAGGTAATATGGTATTATAAGGTACCACACTATTCTAAAAGTCAATTTGTTATTATAAAAAACTCAGCATACTATGGCAAAAACCATATTTTATGGTATTATTTTTAAGTTAGAATGAATAAAAAGGTATTTTTATCACCTCTCCAACATCATCTGTGCAAGTTCATGTATAGTACGAGCGGTTAGCCACTTCCGCCTTGCAGGTGAAACCTGCGCTAGTCTATGTTCACGTAGAGTTAGCAACGTTGATATTAATTCTTGTTCTGTGCATTGATTTCGACGCAAAAGAACCTTTAACATACATTAGACTTTTTTTTAATACGGGCTTATTGGAATGACCTTTATAATAATAGACTATAGTATGACTATTGATTAAGATATTAAAATTTTAGTTGTGGTAAAAAAAAAGTTTTTTATTAACATTTTTAGTTGCCCATACCTCCTTATGTTTAGTTGTATAACGCCAAGTGACGTCCTGGACATCGTTACAAGAGACAGCTATCACATAAGTAAGCTTTTTGCCCCAGCCATGGTCATACATCAGCGGTGTGTCCAATGCCCCCTCGCAAGGGTCAACATGCAACCAGTTATTTGTTACATAATCATATACCTTAAAAGGCAAAATGTATCCAACTCATACAATTTATACAAATAATATATTCTAAGGGTTTTAAGTGGGGCCGATGTTAAATCAATATTTATTTAGTAATATTCATAGGTAAAATGGAACAAAATTCTTAATGAACAAGTTCAAAACACGTTTATATCATAAAAATAATTATAATACTTAATAGACTTGGCAACTTTGAGAAACAATTTTCTTTGTAATTCTTAAAAGATACGTTTCTATTCTTACAATCATTTTTTTTACAAAGAATACGCGATATATGACATACCTCACACCAGACGTGATCAGTAGAATCATAGATATAGCGTGTGTCATAACCAAGTGCTCGGCAGAACATAGCAAAACAATTCGCCCATTCGCCACACCTACCGCGGCGCGTACGCATTAACGCGCGAATATCATTATATCGCGGAAATTTTGTATAATTTCCACAATGCGCGCAACTGTACACCTAGAACATAATACTTTAATATATAGACTTTGACTAGATCTGCGGCTTAGTGATTAACAAACATAGGAGTGGAATTCTTAAGCAGGGTCCACACTATGCCGCGGTAGGCCGGGAGGGTTGACCCGGGTGGGTACGACCCGGGTGGGCTGGTCCACACTGAAAACGAAGCCAACCGGGCTATTTCTACCTACATTATTTAGTTTCAACACCAAGACTGGTGATTTAGTTGAAGAGTACTTAAAATGAACAATAAAAAACCCTACTTAAACAAACTGAATCGAAAATAAAATAATTCGTCTACTTCGGTCGGAGGTTTAATTGTAACTGAAGCCGCTCGGGGCGCTCGGCACGTCCCCATTCTATATTTTTGTTCGGCTCGGCTCGGCTTCCTTTGATCTGTACCTACTTTATGCGGGTTGGGATCGGCACGGCCCGGGCCGTCATTTTCTAACCCGGCAAAGCCGCCTGGGGCGTCTACATCAACGCGGCTTAGGCCGCCCGGGTCAGCCCGCCCGGCCTACCCCGGCATAGTGTGGACCCTGCTTTAGGTTTCAATTTCAGTCAAATAAATTTAATTATTTCATGTCGGTATAAAGTATTGTTGAAAAATATTTTCAATTAAATTACATAACTTAGCGCATGTTTAAAAATGTGACCAAAACATTTTACCTCAGCATTGCATGTTTCTGTCGCAGTTTTCATAGTAGTGCTGTGATAAAATTTTGTAGGTCCTCCACACGTCTCACATTGTGGTGCATCAACCCATGAAAAGTATTTGTGTTTGAACCATCCTATCAGCTCCATTAACAATGCAATGTCATATGATAAGTCTTCTTCTTTTGTATCACCTGCAATTTATATCTACTCATAGGTTACCTGCACTGTGAATAATTGTTTTAAACAAAAATTATCAATAAGAGAGATGCAGAATGACGGGTCTCATGCTTGCTTTATTATAATATCTATTTGCCTGTAAAAAAAGTGAGGTGGTCTACTTCCTCGCCTTTTGAGGTGTTTTCCGTAGTATGGAAAATATTTTTTTTATATATACTTAATGTTTCCGGCGCGTGAAAGTGGTTGGGGGTTATTATTCTATAATGAAAAAGAAAATGAACGGTTTGTTTACGAATATCAATACATTACACAAAATTTTAAATTTCTTTTTAATACTTAGACGCAACTCCGGCAGCAAAAATCACTTGGAGGACCATTCAAGGTCCCCCCGAGACACCTACATAATCAGTATCGTACGAAATCAGAATTCGGGCGACGTATTTCTAAATCGTTACCCAAATTCACATTATTATTGTCAATACACTCTTCCACTGTACTTGTTTTTCATGAAAATTTGGAAAACACCATTAACATTATCTTTGGACGCCATGTTGGCAGTTTGAAGAGTTTTCACACTAGCTGCTAGATGGTAAGAAGTGAAAATAAATTTTAATTAACAGGCTAGGCAAGTTATGAAACTTCAACAATCCAAATCATTTGCCTAGCCGTTAAACCCACTGGCTGAACATCTTTTAGGCCGTTAGTTAAACGGTTAAGCTGTTAATTGAACAGCTGATTAAGCTAGTTGGCTGCAACATATGCACCACCAATATATGGTCACCAGGTACATTTTTTAGAGATATTTAAATACCTATAAAATTTAAAAACCTGTCTTAATTTTTTTCTGAACTTCTCTCATTCTTTTCAATGCTCTTAATTCTAGTGTAACCATTGGTATCTCATTCCTTGCAGCTTGTTGTAATTCTTCATCCTCATAGTCCAAAACCCTATTGAATAATATCTGTATTGTTAGTAATAGATTATTGGTTGTCATCTGTAATTAACACTTTTGTTATTGTTTTTGCCAACATTGGACAAGTAAGAAACCTCAAGTCAAGTCATGTATAGCATGTAAAGATATTTAATATAGAACAACTACGCTTAGCAAACTATTATGAAAGACATTAATGTAAATTTAATTCAAAGTATATACCAGAACATTAATAGGAGTCAATTTGTAATTTTTTATAGGAACTTTTTCAATTTTTGATAAAGTTTTTGAGTCAATACACAAACTCAGTTTCCTTTCAATCGCTGTCTTAGCCAACCTCAGTTTATCAATGGCTTTATCTATAGGGTAGATAAATTTATTTTGTTCCTGTAAATGAGAAAATCATATAACTGAATCTGTTAAAATATAGATAATCTAAAAAAAAATATCATAACTATTATTGCTTATTCACAAACCATTTAAAATTCCGCAACAATTGTTGTACATGGTTTCGATGTTTATCAAGCTAGCACACTTTCGAGTTGGTTAAGATAACTTTTAATACTAATAAGAAATAAAACATAAGGGAACGTAATGTAAAAAATTAAAAAAGATCGCTACATTTACTAGAACTTTTTATAAAACTTACCCATCGGAATCCAATATATAAAAGATAATCGTTTAACTCTTTAAAAACACGAATATTTTCCACGACTTCTGTTTTTATATGCCTACTATTAAAAGGATGGTCTAAAATATAATTAATATTTTGTAGTAGTTCGTATAAGATTTTTCGAAATTTATTGACATCTTTAACACTTTGCTCTACAACTGCTAAACGTGCCATATCTTCCATTGTTTTATGAATAATTGCAGCCCCTTAGTTACGGAATGTCTTTTAAGTTAAATAAATAGTTTGAAATTCAGTCCTGAAGCCAGGTTTTTTTTTGTTTACGTATTAACTATTATCACAATTTTGACGATATCATGCACCCTCCCCTCTTTTTTTTTTTTTTTTTTATCGTAACAAACCTTTAAGTTGACTTTGGATTTCATATAATTTAGCACATCTCCTTCACTAAATCTCATCCCTTAAAACAGACTACATAGCTCTATTTAATCCATAGAGTAAGTTTTATATTGGGTAATTTGATATATGCCAAGTAGACACCACTCGGTCGGTGGTCCACACTACAAATTATATACATATATAGAATAGTAGTTAGATTATAGATAGTAAACTGTACAACATTATACAAACAGACTAGAATTTGGAATTATTCGTATAATTCCAAATTCGTTCAACACCGTATTCGAAGTGTTGCCAAACATGGTATCAAATGTAACTAAAAAATGCAGTACAGAGTAAGATGGTAATTTGTCTCTGTTTATCTCAAATTGCTAATGTGGACATTTGGTTTCTCAATGTAATTTTTAAGTAACACTCCGTATTGCGCTGTAAAATATACGAAAATAAAATGACAGCGTATAGGCTGGCTAATAAAAGAAGATTATTGAATTATTTGAAAACTTTCGGATGACAACACAGAATGTCATTGAAGTTCTTAGGTAAGGTTAAAGGGCCTCATAGCCTAGCGGTCTCATTAAGTGGCAGCTAGGTGAGGGGTACCGGGTTCGATTCCCGGTTCGAGGGCAAGTTTTAATTTAATTTAAATTTGTTCTCGGCCTTTGGGAGGGTTGTGCGGTACCGGGCGAGTGCTTAAACCCTACATGGAGGACACGGTCGAATTTCTAAGGCAAGCACGAATTATAAAAATCTTATACTTGACGCTGGCTAATGCACAAACCGTGCCAGAGCCATAAAGGAAAAAAAAAGTATGATTTATTGTCTTGATACTTCATGCAATTTCTCATTTTTATTTCTATATTTTATATATTTTTTCCGAATAGTTAACAGGTATGATAGCCTAAATTTTGTTTTATTTGATAGAATATTTCGTTTCTTTCGCAGGAAATCTGGAGGATGTAGAATGCAATAGTGAGAACTATCGGTAAGCTCACTGATCCCTATTTCCTTTTGATGTCTTTGTTTATTTTTTCTCGCGTGTAGTTACCCAACATTTTACTAGAAACTGGCATTAAGTTAAAACTATTGCCATCATATATAAGTATTAAAAAAAAGTTCACCGATGTAGAGCAGAAAGAAAGAATAAATCCCAGAACCAGTACTTTTTGGATTCTGATTTTGATTATTCCGTATAAAGTTGTGTTTTATAATAAATATAGTTTTAGTTTTCCATGCAATGCTTGTCATTTTAAGTATCAATAGTAAAATACTAGACACGTATAGTATTTAATTTCATAGAAATACAATTACTATCAATGTAAAAAATAATAAAATAAAATCAAGTATCAAGTAAGTTTAATCCACAAAATATATCAAACTTTTAGGGATACCATACTATTTTTTTTTTAATTTGCTGCGCTTTTTCGTCATCTTTCATTAGCTTTCAGACTCTAACTTTGATATCGATCACACCTAAGATTATATTACAAAAAAACAGGAAATCTACTGATCTACCATCAGGATTCGCACACATTGGTGCCCTGGGGGAAAACGGAACACAGACTAGAAATACTTATACTAATATTAGAGGAAATGATTTTTTTTTTAAATCTACTTTTATTTTAAATAATAATTATATTTTTACAATCTAGTTTTCCATTATCTGTAATAAAACTAATAAGTGACCTTTAGAAGAAGTTCAGAAATCCTTTGTTTAAGATAAAGGTAACCATGGTAATATTTACAGTTTAAAATATTATTAGTGATAAAACCTATGATAGTTACGATATAATTGATAAACATGAAAAAACACAAATTTACTGAGAACTTTCTTACTAATGAAGGTAGGTATTTAGTAGTAAGATATATACATATATCCAGTTATGGTGTGAATATATAATATAATTTGTGTGTTCTAGTGTTTTATTGCAGCTAACATCGGGTTTACTTTATAGATTAAATATTACTTTTTTCCTATCTTGATTTCTATTAAGAATAGTTTTAGATTGTACGCGGGGTTCTCGTAATTGGCTTTTGCATACACGGTATGTCAGAGGAGAATACGATAAATGCTTGGAACTGGCTGACCACTTGCAAAAATATGCATTTAATTCACATAGATTTGCGCATTATGTAAAGGTAGGTCTCCTAAATAGTTTAACCACTACTAAATATTTGTCGATCATTTTTCCGAATAGCAGATGATAGACGTATTATTAATGCACCTTATATTAATAATTCTTTTTGGTACTTACGTATTAACGCCACTGCTGAAAAAATTATCGATTCGATTATTTCCTAATTTTTGAATTTAAAAGTTTTAGAATAATAACCCCTAACCACTTTCATGCACCGGAAACAGTTATTTAAATTAAATATTAATATACTAACCTAATCTAACCAAACAATAAATAATAATGATAAAATCGTAACCAGAATTTTTGCAGCGGTGGCGTTAATACGTAAATACCTTCTCATTAATAATAATCAAGGGTATTTATATTTTATATCCATATAATTTCTTACTTATAAGACGCCTTTGTCAGATGTGTTCCTTATGGTGTCAAAATCAAATTTTTTCAAGAAAAACATTCGAGTGCGTACTTTTTTATAATAAAATAAAACTGCACATTTTGTAACAGAACGTAGGGGAAGGTGGGGACCCTTCGTACGGTTTTCACATTTATTTTTTTATTTTTCCATGAATCAATCATCTATTACTATCAATTTTATTAATCTACTATCTGAGATTCATATAAAAAAATGACAAATGATTTCATCTGATAGTTCAACCATAATTATGATTTAAACTAAATCTGGAAAACGTACGAATCTGCCCCATCAACGGGGCACCTTCGTACAGTGTTGGGGGTACCTTCGTACGCTGTGGGGTAGTTCCGTACGTGCGATTAAAACGCCAACATAAATCAAAATATTAGCAATGAAATTAAACAGAAAAATAAAGATTTAATTTCTATTAAACAAAATAAAATACTGTTCTTATAGTGAACAAAAATTACATAGCTTTTCTTATGTAAAACAAAATTAAATTAGTTAGGTATCTTAAATTTAGAATCACATTTCCTAATCTTTGGTGCGGATTAGCACTTCTTATTTTCGGGTGTGGCAGCATAAATTCGTGGTTTTCCTGGCCGTCGTCGTCATTTTGTTTGTTTTAATTCTTACAACATGCGGATAGGGTCAAAATGCCTCTGGTGTCAAAACTGATTTCGAAGGAACTACTATTTTATGGATTGGTAAATTATTCAAAGCATCTGGTTCACAAGCATCAAAATCAACCTTAATAAAGATAATAAGAAATAGGTATTAATATATATTTACATCGACGATAGCAAAAATAGCAACACAGGACAAAGTTAATGCAAAAATTAGCAATTAGCACACTAACACAATCGTACCTACCTACCAGAGGGTTTAGTCAAGATGCCTTAACAGTAGTGTATGTAGAAAGTCAAAATCTTAATTTGTATGAAAATGACAGTTCGTGTCGACAAATTTTCATACAAATTTAGTAGTACAATTCGTTCAAATGTGCCCCATCTAGTGCTGTCCGAAAGTACCCCACTAACTCAATAACAACAAAATATAACTTATTTAAATATTAATAGGAAAACGTCATAAATTAAGTATTGGAGACGTATCTTAAGTATAGTTTGCTAGTTACTGATAGAATACACACGAAAACTTATTTTATCTACGGTAACAAGACACAAAAACATTGATCAAAAAATTACTTACCGAGCGCAAAAACACGTCCATGCCTGTAACTTCACTCTCATCGGTGCTAATTTCGCGAAACTTCGGTGATGTAAAGTTGGTACCTCGACTCATGCACACATACAAAAGCAAGACTGTACTTTGTTTCGTTCAAGTTTTATTTTGACTGTATGAATGTGCCCCGCGTACGAATGGTAACGATCTTCCCCTATGGCTATATATATTTTTTAATCGAAAGATCGCTACTTAAAACTGATCAGTAAAGCAGACAGAAATGTCACATTGTAACCTTTTGGGGCTTCAGTAATTTGATTGAGGCATTTTCTATGGCAGGCTTTAATCTTTTCTCAAACTGGCCGACTTCAAGAAGCTTTGGATAAATTTCACACTTCTATAAAGATACAACCTCAAGACCCTGAAGCTTTAAAAGAAGTCGGAAACTGTCTGTAAGTAAAATAAAATGATTATCACTAAATTATTATTATTTTGTATAATACAAAGAAGTTTTTGAAAATTACAATTTTTGCACTCGTTAATTCAAATATATTTTTTTATAATCAAAATAAAATACATATATTATGAGATTATATCACTAATTAAATTCTTAAAATGCAAGGGTAAAAAAGAAAAAAAAAGGGAAAGAGCGATTGAGACTGATTGAGAGAGAGAGTGAGAAAGGGCGAACGTAGCATGAAGCAAATAGCCATGGAGCGAGAGTAGGGAGCAAGCAAGTGAGAAAGATTGAGTGAGAGAGTAAGGGAGATCGAGAAAAAATACAGGCTCTTAGTAGATGTATTCGTTTAGTAGTTACATATTAACAGTCTTACTAATAATGATTTATGCACATCGTATAAGCCTGTTATAAGAAAAATGTTACTAATAATTCCTGAATAGGCAAATCTGATGTATACGGCTGTTATAACAAGTGTTTTGTTTGTATGAAGACTTATACAATGCTTATACAACGCAGAGGCCTATTTTAACGGGTATACAAGACAAAAATGGCGTAATTTGATCTGATTTAGCGTTTGACACATTGATATACAAAAAACCCAAGATGCACAGTCTTGAATAAAAGTAACGCTCGAAAG